AGGTTCTTTATACGGTAGTGGTGCTATATAGCACCTCATCAACTCCAAAGAACCGCTGAAGAACCGCTGAAGAACCTTTTTTTTTTAGAGTGTACAGTACATCAATCATCTACTGTAAGTCTCAGTAAAAGTCCCATCATGCATGGCTACTTACTGTAAGCCACTAGGCGTGTCATTTTAGTTGCCCGTGACTCAACATGTTTGGATGTGGGTGTGTCTGAACGTCAAAACTGAACTCTTGAAAATGAGTGCTTGATGTCCAATGTCCATTACCTTAACTAGCAATTAGTTATATAACATACTATTATTCCTCACAGTAACACAGTATTCTGTGTGATTGGGTAGTTATTCCATCAGACGTCATGATAGGCCATGCAACAAATGCAGATTATTTTGTTAAGGACACAATATGCTGATGTTATTTTTCAACAGGGTACAGGAAGTTGGGCATGTGAAATGTGGTGAACTAGGCAAGCTTAATTGAGGCATAATAAATGACAGAGCTGGGCTGGTTTATCATTCTGGCATTTATCGGTTTTCTCTGATGGTTTATGTCTTGTATGCAAAGACAAGGTTTATGGGTCTACAAAAGTCCCTCTGTCAGATCCAGTTTGAATTGTTTACTCCGAACAAATTTGTTAACAATAACTTTTTATAGACTTTTTGTTAATTTGCTATTGCTTAATATGGGTTTTTACAATACGGAGAGCTAATACAGAATAGTTATGCTAGTTTACAGGGTTAGCTCACCACAGATGAAAATTGTTCCTTGTGTCTTATTGCTTTCTTCCAGTGAAGGCAGCAGAAGTTTTGCAGAACAGTTTTGAAGTGGATGCAAATAGTGACTAAGGTCTGTCAAGCTCCAAAAAGAATAAATGTCATCTGATGACTTGACAGACAGTTTTTAAGTAAGAATGAGATATGAGAAGGAGTTGTGACGAACGAGAAGGAATTTCAGTAATTTGTTACAGTATTGTGCATCATTTAGAACAGAATTGAGAATGTTTTTAAATTGACATTAAATATCTTCATTTGAATTAATGTTTTTAATTGGGGTAACAAACAGTATAGAGTTGCAGTTTGAATTTGAATGTAAGGAAGTTGAAAGAAACCAAAATAAATCCATTTACATAACTAACTTCAAACTAGAAAAGTAAAGCTTGTCAAAACAAACTGAAAGTTTATAGGTCTTAGAGACTGAAACACTGACTGGCAGACAAACAGATAAATAATAGCTAGAACAGACAGAAAAATAGACAAAACTAACAGACAGACTGATAGATAGAATGACAGATTGATAGAACGATAGACAGAAACAATACATAGAATGATCGACAGACAGAATAAATGAATTCACAAACAAACAAATGTAAAACAAACAGACCGAACAAACAATCGATAGACAGACAGACAGATAGATAGATAGATAGATAGATCTTCATATTAGCTTGAGATATTTGGTATTCAAAAGCCTGTTATGTTACAGTCCTTAGACATTTTTCCATGTTTCAATATCTTAAAGGGGTCATATGATGCGATTTCAAGTTTTCCTTTCTCTTTGGAATGTTACAAGATGTTCGTGAATAGATAAGATCTGTAAAGTTGCAAAGACTAAAGTCTCAAACCCAAAGAGATATTCTTTACAGAAGTTAAGACTGGTCCACGTCTTCCTAAAACACCTCGTTTAAACACGCCCCCTCATGTCTACGTCACTGTGTGGGAAGATTTGCATAACGCCGCCCAAATGTTCACACAAAGAAAGAAGGCGTAACTTTATTGTTGCCGCCGCTATGTTGTGAAGACGCTGTGTATTTCGTTGTGAAAGCGAAACTACTTTGTTCGGTCTTCCAAAAGAGGACACGACTAGAAATCAGTGGTTAATTATTTACAACACTGTTCCAGAACAGTTCAACCCAAATATTCAGTTGTGTCCAGCACATTTTATGGAGGACTGTTTCCTGATCCTGGTAGAGTAGACTACAATGCCTGCTGTTCTGACTCACAGACTGTAAGTACGTATTCATATTTAAAGGATTTGCCACTGATGATTCAAACGCGAGTTTTGAGCAGTGTAGAGTAGCACTTGTTGTTTGTTGTTTCTCCGATCACAAATGCAGACATGGTTTTATGTTTACGCGGCGCGATGCAACGCAACGCGTAAAAAGACAGTATAAGTCATTATAATCCGTAATTAATGTCCCCATGCAACAAATGCCTCGTTTATAATGGGTTTTAATATTTTTGTCTCGTCGCTTCGGCCAGACACGGCATCACAGTATGGTGAGGGGCGTAACATTTCTGTCTCACGCTTGAGGTATTCGGCCAATCACAACGCACTGGATAGCTGGCCAATCAGAGCACACCTCGCTTTTCAGACCGATGAGCTTTGTAAAAATCGACGCGTTTCAGAAAGGCGGGGCATAGAGGAGAAACAATAATGTACAGTATGTGGGAAAATAATGTTAAACCTTAAACCGCATAAACACATTTCATTACACCAAATACACAAAATAATGTTCTTTTTAATAACATCATATGACCCCTTTAAAGATATATCAACCACAACTGAGAGACAGATAAGAGAGAACAGCAGCCTGGTCTCTATGGATCCAGCAGATGGGTGATCCAGCCTCATGAACTCTGACCTCACACACACCATCCAGCACATGGTCTGCATGCCATGCCACCTCCTCCCAAAAGCACACACTAGTGTGTCAGTGTGAGGTTTCAGATGCCTCTGCCATGGGAGCTATTTCATTCAGCAGCACTATTAATACTCTTTTCACTCACTTCTGTTACTAGCCATACTGCTATACGCTTAAAACAAGACATAACTGAATGTGTGATGCAGTTTTATAATTGTATTTGCAATCATACTTTATCTTAGTTAAGCTACGTTGATATTTTGAAACAATTGCTTGAATGACAATTCTGGCACTTTCTTTAAATCTATGTTTAGCTCTTAAAGTGAAGAGTATCTGGTTTAAGGACTCTGACAAGACACTTTTAGACATTGATTTCACACACGATTAGACTAAATGTTTACCATATATGTTGTGGTATGAAATAAAGAAATCTTCACTTTCTCAAGTGTGTGAATCAACAGGTGGATTATTTTTTATTCAGCGAGTGAATTAAGAACTGGCGTTATATCTCTAAGCGTTTTGCAAGCATATTATGAAATGAAATGTAAAGTTAAAGTCACACTCATGTTAATAACTTACTATTTCAGCGGCCAGGATGGTTCCTTTCCGAGTATCAGGAAGGGGGCCAACACTTTTTCACACCACTGTACATACATAGCCTGCATACATACATATATAATAACATTTCAAAAACAAAAGTTTCTTAAGAAAAAATATGATTTGTTCTAGGTTTTATGAGATTCACCCATATGCCAATCATTCAGTACTATGAGGATACCACAGTACCATAGTATTACCATTTGATACAATCACTGCACCATGTTACTGCCACAATGTGTTTTTGGGAACTGTAGTTATTTCTGTGAATTCTGTCATTTCCCCCCTTTTTCCTTCTATGATTTCTTTCCTATTTACAGGTTTAAAATAAGACCAGAAGGAGCTGCGAGGAGTTGTGATAAATGGTTTTGAATGGGGAAACATATTGTAAATGCTTCCCATCTGGAATATGTTTCTTTCTCCTGATTTTCAGGGAGTGTAACTACACTGACTGAGAGATTTCATGGAAACTATCGTTTATAGGTTATTTGATTTAAAGTGACATTGTGGAAATACTCTGTGCCATAAGTAGGCTACTTTGGGTTGGGTTTGACTAAGGGCAGACACACACACACACACGCAGTCACGCACACACACATAATTGTGGTTTACGGGGACTCTCTATTGGCGGTATTGTTTTTATACTGTACAAACTGTATTTTCTATCACCCACTCCAACCCTACACCTAAACCTACCCCTTACAGAAAACTACTGGCAATTTTTGAATTTCATAAAACACCGTTTTGTATGTTTTTTAAGCCTTTTGTTTTACGGGGACACAGGAAGTGTCCTCATAAACCATGTTTACGTCGTAGTAGGCTACCCATGTCATTATACACATTTTACATTTACATTTAAATCATTTAGCAGACGCTTTTATCCAAAGCGACTTACAAATGAGGAGAATAGAAGCAATCAGACCAACAAGAGAGCAACATTATACAAGTGTTGTGACAAGTCTCCATTAGTCTAGCACAGTACACATAACAAGCTGCTGTCCTCTTCTGTTGCTCGACGGCTTCTTAAATAATTACTATACATTTAGTGCTATAATGCTTATAATGTCAAATATAACATACATATATTGCTCAAGGTCTTATCAATATGTAAAACTTCAGCATGCAAGACAGAGAACCTGGGTCAAAAAAAGGTCAAAATGAACAATCTTACTTACTGATATTTGTGTCCTCATCCCTGTTGAAAAAACCAGCATATGCTGGTTAGGTATGTTTTGACGCTGGGATGCTGGTTTAAGCTGGTCCTTTGCTGGTTTAAACTGGTCCTTTGCTGGTTTAAGCTGGTCCTTTGCTGGTTTAAACTGGTCCTTTGCTGGTTTAAGCTGGTCCTTTGCTGGTTTAAACTGGTCCTTTGCTGGTTTAAGCTGGTCCTTTGCTGGTTTAAACTGGTCCTTTGCTGGTTTAAGCTGGTCCTTTGCTGGTTTAAACTGGTCCTTTGCTGGTTTAAGCTGGTCCTTTGCTGGTTTAAACTGGTCCTTTGCTGGTTTAAGCTGGTCCTTTGCTGGTTTAAACTGGTCCTTTGCTGGTTTAAGCTGGTCCTTTGCTGGTTTAAACTGGTCCTTTGCTGGTTTAAGCTGGTCCTTTGCTGGTTTAAACTGGTCCTTTGCTGGTTTATGCTGGTCCTTTGCCAGCACATGACCAGCATAAACCAGCAAAAGGACCAGCATAAACCAGCAAAGGACCAGTTTAAACCAGCAAAGGACCAGCAAAGAACCAGCATAAACCAGCAACGGACCAGTTTAAACCAGCAAATGACCAGCATAACCAGCAAAGGACCAGCATAAACCAGCAAAGGACCAGTTTAAACCAGCAAAGGACCAGCATAAACCAGCAAAGGACCAGCTTAAACCAGCAAAGGACCAGCTTAAACCAGCAAAGGACCAGCTTAAACCAGCAAAGGACCAGCTTAAACCAGCAAAGGACCAGCTTAAACCAGCAAAGGACCAGCTTAAACCAGCAAAGGACCAGCTTAAACCAGCAAAGGACCAGCTTAAACCAGCAAAGGACCAGCTTAAACCAGCAAAGGACCAGCGTAGATTTACTTAATTTTTATTTTGCAAGTTTTTGCACACATACATTTCAAGTAAAATGTAAGTATTGAATTAAGTAAAATCTACTTAACTAATTTCGGTTAATTTAGCAAAGGAAATAAGTAAATTGAACATGGCCAGTTAGAGTTTGATGAGCAATTTCTACTTAATTATGTTATTAAATATGCAATACTCAAGTACTTTCCCCTCAATTAGTTTATAAAATTTACTCAAGCAATGTTACACTGGAAAACAATCATGCTATTAAATCATGTGGTTCACTTGCAAACATATAAGTAAGCAAGTAGACAGCTTGTTGTTCTTTGATGATAATATGTCCACTCAATATAATTATTACCCAAATGAACACAGAGACCTCAATACTTGGTACACCATACACAATGACGGTAACAATCAGTGGATAGTGTTTGAGTATAAATGGGTCATTTTGAGATATCACAAAACAGTAAGTTACTAAACCTAACTACAAAATCAACCATAAAACAGTGTAAATACAACTCGAAAACAGTGAACATTTTAACCTTTTTAATTATCCGTGCCCCCAGTGCATGATGGGAAAAACGGGATCATAACTTTGATGTTTACTTAAAGAATCCTTGTAAACATAACAAACAATTCCAAGTAAAATATGCTTATAATTTCAAACTTTAATTTCTACAAGCTTAAATTGAGTAGTAATATAGAATTTACTTTAATTTTTTTAAAATTCTTGCCTGAACTAAATTATTTAATGTAGAAATTATATTTGTTTTTATGTAGTATTTATTTACTTCACCACAAACCCATCAATTATTGTTCCATAACTCTATTAATAATAATTGTGATATTTATGCTGTAGCACTTGTAACATTCATGTAAGCTATTATTAGAAAGATGCTAATTAATACACTAATCTAAAAGAAATAATAATTCAGATTTACAGTGAATTTCAAGTAGAATAGTTATACTACCATTCAAAAGTTTGGGGCCAGTATTTTTTTTGTTATGTTAAAAAATTTTTTACTAATACCAAGGCTGATTTTTTTTCTTTTTATTTTTTTACATTTTTGTGATATTTATTGTGAAATATGATTACAATTTCAAATGAATGTTTTCTATAATATATTTTTAAATTTTAATTTATTCTTGTGATCAAAGCTGATTTTTCAGCATCATTAACATGATCCTTCAGAGATCATTCTAATATGCTGATTTGCTGCTCAATAAACATTTATCATCAATGCTGAAAACAGTTTTGCAGCTTAATATTGATGTGGAAATTGTGATCAATTTTCTTTACTGTCACGTTTGCCCAGTTGAATTTGTTCTTGCTAAATAAAAGCATTAATTTATTTAAAAATAAATAAATTGATTAATTAAAATAACTGACCCAAAACTTCTAAAGGGTAGTACTTTACAAGAAAAACAATCAAGGTGCTCAATAACTGCATTAATAAACAAGATTTATTTAATTTTATTAAGTTTCTTGATTGTAAATATGTAAATGTAGATTTAATTTCTAATATCTTAGAATAATCTTTTCATTTGTATTTATGTATTTTATTTGGCATATTTAGTTCTAACAGTCACTAAATGTCTCCCTCTTCTGGTCTTAAAAGGCATGTCTGTCTGTCTGTCTGTCATTTTAAAGGGGTCCTATTATGCTTTTTCATCTTTAGTTAGTCTGTAATGTTGCTGTTTGAGCATAAAAAAGATCTGCAAAGTTACAAAGCTCAAAGTCCACTTCAAAAGGAGATTTTTTATTTAACAGATCACTTTTCAAAAACTACAACGAACGACTCGCTTGGACTACAACACATATTTTCCGGGATTTGTGATATCACAAATATCGACGAATGGGACGAGACCTGGTTAAGCTGCACTAGAGAAGGCAATGAGTGTTATCACTATGTCGGAGACACGCTAGCTTTCCCAAGGCAGACAAACTTTTAGAGTGGTTACAATCATCCGGGTTTAAATCGCGCTCAAATTGATTTGATTTTGATGCAATATTTACACTG